TGTGTCCTAGAGACAATTATTTTAAGGACATGATCACATTAATAATTATATTGGATTATAATTATGGTATTGCAATTAATTAAATAATTGTTTGATTGTTTGCAATTTATTAATTAATTGCTCCCTTGAGTTGATACTGTCATTAGCAGAGTGAGATGTTAATTGATAAAGTATAAATCTAAAATCGCCTCAATCGATGATCATTAAGAAGGGGATATTAATGATACGCGATAGATTGACATGTGGTATGCATCATATTCTTAGAGAATATAGTATGTCTCACTGCTATGAATAATTGTTATTCGTGACTTTGGAGAGTATTGGCATACCCTACCGATAAAACATTTATTTATGTGTCTATGGAAGTATCGGTGTGTGGAATGGTGTAATAGTCCTTTGACTTGAGGTCAATACGCAATTCATGTATAGAGTGATTTACTTAGACCTAGTCCAACGCTTACGCCCTTATTGGTAGACACGGGCTTGTGTTGGGTAGATCATGATATACATGGAATTGGTAGTTGAGCCAAGAAAGAATTCATTCCTCGAATATAGTTTCGAGAGAACACTCGTTTTCTCTATACTTGGTTGATAAAGTCATTGGCCAATGCACGTGATTATATTTGAAATAGTGTTCAAATATAACTGATAAAATCAACCAGTGAGATGAGATAAAATGATTAAGCTATTTGGATAGACACACGTTCAAATCCTAAGCTTAACTGAGTGGTTCGTGAATGAAGGGACCGTATCATCATTGAGTTCTACACTAAAGGTTTGTTTGCTTGTCCATGTAAACGTACTTCATATTTTGAGTTCGTCCTTCGACACAGTCTAGGAGTTTCGTAAGGATCATAAATTAGATTTATGTCAATATATGAAGGCCTATAGGGTCACACAATATGCAATCAGTTTTTCGACTAAGAGTGAATCGAGAGTGTTAAATATTCAATTAGATTGGAATATTTATTTATGAGTAATGAGATTATTTTCTATTTGATGGAAAATATTTAATTAAGTTAAATTGGACTTACACTTAATTAGTAATGAGATAATTTTCTATTAGATGGAAAATATTTATTTAAGTTAAATTAGATTTATACTTAATTAAATTATTAATTGGATTAGGTCCAATTGCCTATTGGGCTGTAGGGTCTCCTAAGGCTCATATGATTAGGTTTAACCTAATTATAAATAGGTCATTATCTCATGGTAGTCTTTAACGATCATTAGATGAGAGAAAAGAGATACGCCGTAAAACACAAAACACTCTCTAGCTTTCTGGATCGAGGATTCCTAGCTTCTTCACCAGAGAGGATTCATTGGCGTTGGATCGTGCATCGGGAAACTGGATTGCGTGGATACCATAGTCGAGGACATAGACGAACAACGGTAAGTTTTCGTTGATCATTCACGCGATCTAGGATCACATCGAATAGCTGTAGCCGGATCTTCGTTGTTGGTAAGAAAATTTTAAAATTCCGCTGCGTGTACACTAGGTTCGTACATCTAAAATCCAACACTTCATGGCTTTTTTAACTGTGTCGGGCAGAGAAGCGACTGAAGAGGCGGCGATGTTGTGGCGTACGACCTCTCCCTCAAGATCAAGGTCGAGGCTGGACAAACTCAACGGGCTTGCCGCCAATCAGAGTCGCATCCGGTCGCAATCGACTATTTTCGGGTTGACCGCTAGGGAGAATAGAATATGCGGAGGATTGAGGGAGAGATCTCCAGTCCGAGATGTTGCGGGTTTGTCGGAGCTTAGGTTCAATATCGAGGCGGCGCATAGGGGGATCCAGCGGAGAAGATGACCATGGTCATGACCGCAGTTTCGGGTCTTAATTCGGGTCTTGGATTATATTTGATCAGTTCAAATCGTTTTTTGAATTAATATTTATCTAGTGTTTATTAATATTTATGTCTGGTATATGATCAGTTTATGCGTTGTATATTTTAAGTATATGTTTCGTATGCATAATCTGCAATTTTATAGTGGCGTATGATTCTTAATGTATTGTATATTTTAAGTGTTTGATATGTGATATTGTTACAATCAGTTAAGTACGTTTATTTATATTGTTTATAAACGCAACATATACATCATTATGAAAAATATATTGTCTACAAACGTGCACACTCTCTTAATATACAACAAAAACACGATCACAATGTACATAATATATACTATCACAAAATCAGTTAATGAATATATAGAATATTCCCACAATATACTTAATATATACCAAGTAAAATCTTTGCATTTGCTTAAACATGTGCTGAATATACACCATAAAGAAATAAACATATCAGTTAATGAACATACACTGTTGCTCCAATCAAGAAATATATACATATCATAAACTATTAGCACACCCAATACATACACAGTTGCTCCAAAAAATCTCACGGCAGAAAAAACATGTCCCATATACATTACATATGTTGAACATATACAACCTAATGTTAATGATATAATAACAACTTTGAAACTCTTTAATACAAAATGAATTATATACATACAATATACTTAACATATACATATTAAAAATTTTATATTTGTTGTTTAAAATTCGTCCTCAAATACGGAATCCGGC